TTCCGCAGTGCCTTGCTCAATGAAAGACACAACTTGGCTCATCAAGCAGCTAGAGAGGATGTGCCCATATTCGTGGAATTTGAAACATTATCTAGCGGGGACTGTTGTGCGCGTGATACTATTATTAAACTTCTTATCGCTGAGGGTGGCTCTATCCTTTTCTAAACAATTTTTCACAAATCCCTAAGATGTGCTTCTTTGCAATCGCCAACTGTGGATTTCTGTCTGATTGGTAGTGGTTGCCTCTATAATTTTGTTGTCTTTCCACTTTCAGAGCTAAGATCTGGACGTCCCCAAGTAACCAATACGGCTGAAGCTATACCACATTGCTAACAGGAGGCTTCAGGACCCAAAGGTATCGGACTGTAGTATGCTCCTTTGGCCCGTTCAGCTAGCATTTCATCTTGTAAGTAGTCAAACTGAGATGTGAACTCCTCTGAAAGGTCTCACTGTTGATAATAAGAAGGAAGATATTTCTTCAACATTGTTTTCTTCATCTTCTCTCATTTAGTAATCTTATCATTTTCTTCTCTTTTTCACTGTCGTTGTAAGTTCTCTCACCAGACAGAAGCGCTCTTAACCTAATAGCAACCGATTTTACTTGTTTATCCAAGAGCACATTTTTATATTTGTAGATCCGCTCAACAGACTGTAGCCAATCAATAAATTAATATGGCTCCATATGTCCCTCAAACTCTAGTAGATCCACCATGAATTCGTAGTCTCTATATCCTCCAACTGATGTCTCCTTTCTAGACCTCCTCTGATACTGGAGTTTGAAACACCGTGGCCTTTCATCTTCATCATTGAAATCATCCCTACGGAAGTGGTTGAATTTTTCATCAATTTCTCCTCTTCAATTTTCCCTGTCACCATCAAGGGTAGGTCCCCCTGGATGTCATCATCAATGTTCGACAATCCGCTGAAGTCAGCAGATCTCTCCTTGATCATTCCCGGTATGCTCAGGCAAGTATCTCCTTGGTGGCATGGCTAGAGTTTAGAGTCGAGAGGATGAAAGCAGGTTAAAAGAATTGATTTAAACTTATTGATTTTGTAAATCAATAAGGGGAAATTATGATTAGGTCAAAGTTTAGTTGTGATTTGGAAACAATGAAGAAAATTTTGATGGAGGGATAATGTTAGGATTATGTTTAGACTAGTTCTGATACCAAATGATTTCAGAGTTAACCTAAAGCACAATAGAAATGCAAAAAAATTTGTTGAAATTCAAAATGGTTACAACCAAGCCTCTTGCAAACAAGAAATAAACAACAACCAACACAAACTACAATACAAGATTAACAGCAAAGGACGCTCACATAGACCCCAACAAGGTCTAAGTGTGCTAGGAGAGGGGTGGGGAAGAGGTGGTGGCGGGGAGAAATAGAAAAAGGAGGGTTGGCGATAGGGGAGTAAATGAGTTGAGTCGAGCTAGGATGACCCTCGACTCAAGCTCGAGCTTGATTAATTTTACTGAGTTCAAGCTGGCTCGCGAGCCGGCTTCTTTATTATAAAGGAGAGAATATGATATTAATTTAAGCTAAGTTTATAATAAGATGAGCCAGCTTCTTTATTATAAAGGAGAGAATATGATATTAATTTAAGCTAAGTTTATAATAAGATGACAAATATAATGAAAATTTTGGAAATAAATAATAAAAAAATCACCTAATATACAATACAAAATATCATTTTGTAAATGTTTTTAATCTTTTGAAGAAAAAGTCTTGAAATTTAATAGATTTAAAATATATTTTATATTAATATATTTGTGAACGAGTCGACTCATGAGCTATCGAGTCGAGTAGGGGTGGCTTGAGCTTGGCCAGTTAGCTCATCGAGCTTAGTTCACGAGTCACTTACCGAGTCAGTCTCGAGCAGGCTCACGAGTCGGCTTGACTCATTTACACCTCAAGTTAGCGGCAAGTTATGGCAAGAAGTAGGAAGGGGAGGATTGGCAATGGGTTACGACAAGGTAAATTAGAAGGGGAAGAGTTGATTGTAGGTTACGACAAAAAGAAATGGGAAGGGGACTGGCTGTAGGTTACGATAAAGAGGAATAGGAAGGGGAGGGCTGCAATTGTTGGGTGGAGGTGGAGGTTGTCGTGGAGGTTTTAGAAGGCTGACTAGACAATAGCTGAGAGGTTTCTAGTCGTGCAATGGGTAGGAGGAGAGGTTTAGCGTTTAGGGTCTGTAGACAACAGGGTGGATGGTAGGATGGAAAGGAGTCACGAAACTTAGCAGGTAAGGAAGAGTGAAGATTAGCTGTTGAGGGGAGTTAAGAAATATAAGAATTTTCGCGACATCGAGTTACGAAAGTTAGCAGGTAGAGGAAGGGTGAAGATGAGCTACTAAGGGGAGTTAGAAAAGATATGAATTTCCACGGGATCAAATTATAGTCGGAGCACCCCTCGAACCGTTTGAGAATATCGCCTCCAAACGGGTTACAATCGGATCACCTCCTTGCCTTCAAATATAGCCTTAGAAGGGAAAACAGCTGTCAACAACAAGCTAGACAAAAATCTAAAATTAGGAAGACTGAAAACTATCCCTAAGCAAGCAAAATAACAGCTATATAATAACTAGGAGAAAAATTAGGAAGTGAACCTCCCTTTGGGTGGCAATCTGAAAAGGCAAGGGAGTAGAGTGGCAAACAGACAAAAGGAGGGGGAAAGGCGCGGTATCTCTCGCTGCAATGAAGGTCGGCCAGTCCAGCATTGGTTAGACAGGAATCCATCTTATTCAATTTATCAAAACAAAAAAAAAATAATAGCAGACCATCCAGCAAGTCAGTTCAACCGGCCTCCAAAGCCCGCGTCCCACCTCCAAAGTCCCGTGTCAGCATGACTATGAGGGCATAGACACAAGCACAAGCAAACAAAAAAAAAACTAGAGGCAAAGAAACAATTACATAGAAACCCGAGTGTCGGGGGCAACAAGGACGATAAGTGAGCATTGCACAAGGGCGCACCAGAAGGGGAGCAATTGGGAGGCAATTCCCATTATTTGACATGGCCTTCCCTTTGGGGTTTCTCCTGCATCTAGGGTTTCTTCTTGGATCCTTTATCTCTACCCTTTTAATTGAAGTAATTACTACACCTATTAACAATTGCAAGTAGGGTTCACCAAAATACCACATAGAAAGAGGACAAAGAAGGATTTGAAATTTTAGGTCATTTGATTCTAGGATGCTCACAATGATCCTAATATGGCTATATTAATAGAAGAAATAAAGAATAATCTAAAATATATATTCAAAGACCAAATCAAACATGAAATAAAAATTAATATTTAAAATAGCAACAAAATCCTAAAATCAAACAACTAACTCCTTAAAAATAATAACTAATTCTGAAAATCCAGAAAATGAATAAAATCCTAAAATATATGCAAGAAATTCAAATAAATCTCTTCCAACGCTTCTATTATTTACCAAACAAACCCTAAGGAGAGATAGGTTTGGTTGAGATTTTGTTGTGCGATTTCATTTTACATGTCATTTTGCAACAACAATCAAATTATGCATCTTAAGACATCCAATCCCTTTCACTGAGCTTGTTTGAATCCTCCTGGAATTGTTGCAAGACTTAAAATGCCCTGACAACCTTCTGAAATGATCTTCGTAACCACTTGAATCAATTTGACACCAACATCAATCAATTTCTAACTACAATCAAAACTAAATTTGGAATCTACTAATTCATTATTTTTTCAATAGGTTTTCAAAATTCAAGTAGTGAAATTCCCAGAGAGAAATGTAGAACTAGGAGAAAAAAAAAGTAAATGTAGCTAAAATGCTATGTTTTTTGAAGTGTTTTGAAATAGATATCCCTACAGATATCTACATATTAATGTTCTGTAAATATTAGCATGTATATATATGTTAAATTTGTATCGAAAGTATGAAAAAAAATATGAACAACTGTCACAAATTGATAAATCTTTCTCAAACTAATTTCAAATTTGGCCAAATTGGAGCACATTATGCACACAATTTTAAAGTTATTATCATCTCAAGATTCACTAAATTTAGATTTATATGGCTTAGTGAACCCAACTTGAGTTAAATCTACTTGAAGCCCAATGGCCCTAGATGACAAAACACTATCTAGCATATAAAAAAAAACAAATTGCCGTATAAAATGAAGATAAAATGACAAAGCATAAAGTGCTAAAATATACAAAAAAATGGGATAACTGAAGATAAACCTCTTAAATAAAGTTGTTAAAAATAAACAAAAAGGAGCAAAATAAATGACAATAAATAGCATTGAAAAGTAAGGAACATCAAAGAAATAGCAACAAAATGCATAAACCTTCAAAGAATCTAAAATAATTGTCCTCACAAACAGCAGTCAAGCACATGGCATTAGCATGCATACCACCCAATTCTTACGTATTTACATATCTAACACCAAAATTTTGTTATTTACATTTATACCATTCAAATCTTGCATGCCACATCAAACATACCACCATTTCAACTTTTGAAAAGTGAAACATACCTTTTCATGTATATGTAAGCTGGTATATATGTAAAAATTCAAGTTTAGGTGTTACATATGCAGATACACAGGGATTCATTGGTGTGTATGTAAATCTTCCATATAACTTCTATCCAGATTCTGAGGAAAAAGAATACCTTGATTTTTTTATGTGCAGCAACATTTAAGAAACAATAAATCATAAACCCACTGATATAGCATATTCCCCACCAATATAACAAGGCTATAAAACAAATATAAGAAACAAGCAGCCAAAAACCCAACGAGGATTTCAACAGATCACAACATGCAACAAGAATTTATTCCTTTACTCAAAACGGAAACAGAACAAATAAAATTTGAATGCAAGGACAAGAAAAAAGACATCGCGGACCACCGACTGATACAAATCGACAAAACTTGAGAAATTTATGGAGAAGAAAGAACAGAAAACCCTAAAAGGTTTGCTTAAGCGGCAGGCGCAAAGAGGAAGAAACCGAGTCAGGGAAAACTTACCAGAAGAAGGCGGCAAGCCGCCGTATCTAGACGTCCCTTTGGGCCATCCAGCATCCTTTTGATGCGTCCTAGGTCTCCTTCGGGAATAACTCCACTCCCCCATTAAACCAAAGTAAGAAGAAACCAGACCTCTCTCTCCTTTCTCCCCCTTCTTAATCTTTCTTCAAAGGAATGAGCAATGGAAAATCTCGGAAGATTGAATTGTGAATCCTTCTCCGAAGTTCGTGATACTGACAGAGATAACGGAACCGAGAAAGGGTTTAGAAGATTGAGTTTCTAGATTGGGGAAGGGAATTTCCAGACGGAATTCGAGGATTCGAGAGGATAAAATAGGAAAAAAAAAAAGGAGACATTTTTATTTTAATAATATTTAAATATTATGATTTGAGAGAAATATTATGTCCGGAAATATTTTGAATACCATCACGTCTCTATCTATGATGAACCGTAGAGTTATTGGGGAGAAGGAAGAAAAATATTATATCAGTATTTTGTATGTAGAGTTGACAGAAAAAATAAAATAAAATATGTTCGGTAACATAAGGGAATATTATTTCCGTGTTATTCAGGTGTTATTGTGTTATTATAATACTGAGAATATTCTCAGAACACAATAACACTTGAATAACATACAATAACACATGAATAACAGAGAATAACTTGCGGGGGAATATTCCCCGGTATTACCGGGCTTATTTTTTTTATCACCTCCAAATACATGACGTGATTTCATTGGATTCCGCACGAAACTGTACGTGTGGAGTCCTGATATAATATTTTTTCGCTAACCGGGCATGCGGTAATATCTACTCCAATGAAAAGCAGAATCTAATGAAATTGTTGTTTTTTAATTAGTGAGATATGTGAGCCAAATAATAATAATTATATTTACTTTATTTTATCTTTGAAAAATAATTTGCATCTTTATTTAATCATCAAAATAAATCCCAACGTTTATAAATTTATTTAGAAATGAGTATATTATATGGTAACCAATATTTTACTAATTTGAAAACATATTAAAAATTTCAAGGCACATCTTAATAAATTATAAGTAGATGATGTGCATGAGTTGTAGACATTTTCAAATATTAATGTAACGGTAAACTTAAAGATAGAATTTTCAAATTATAAAAAATATATATTATTTATAATTCTTAACTCATATTGGTAGAGGTTTTTTGACCGAGTACTATTCTCTTTCCAAGATTATTCCCATTTAGGGGTGTAAACGAGTAGAACACGAGCGAGCCAGGCTCATATTTCGAGCTCAAAAAGTGTGTTCATGTTCGGCTCGTTTGTTTAGCGAGCACGCGCAGTTCACGAACAAAGAGTCATTTTGACAACCCTAATCACGTAGCCATAAGATGTTAAGGATTGGGGCAAGATTCAAAACATCCTTTAAATCTAATTTAATAATTTTTATTCTTTTTTCTTCATTAATACTTTTAATTGATTATAAATCTTTGTAGCCTTGTAGTCAATTAAATTTTTTAAATATATTACTCATCAAAGATATATATATAATTGATTAGTAGTATTTCGAGCCAAAACGAGCCGAACACGAATAAATAAATATTTGTTCGTGTTCAACTCGTTAACTTAGCGAACGATCTGAACACGAGCTTCTTAACGAGCCGAACACGAGCTATTCGCGAACAACGAGCCTTTTTGACAGCCCTATTCCCATTAAATTTTTTGTCTCCTATGTGTTGTTCACAACTTATCTATGTATATAAGAGATATTCATATAATCCTAAAGCAATAGATTATCTATATGTATACTGAAAAAATGATAGGCCAAAATTGAATCGCCAACACATGAAATAAGTTCACGGGCCATAAGAGAAGACTATGAGTCAATTTAGATCAAATTCACTTGGATGACTTACTGCCACGAGCGTGGTGCTAGCCTAATACGAGCTAGACAGATAACAAGAATAGTTCATCAACACATCTCACATTCACGACTAGTCATACGACTCAAAAAATTAGCTAAGGACGAGATAAAGTGTTTGCTCCACGAATAATTGGGTTCTTATTGAGGACTATGTGGCACGGGCAATCCTATGTTAGCTTCCTACAAAGTCAGCTAAAGACAAGACATTGAATTAGGCCAAAGACTAATATGGGCTCGGTTACATGGCTAATTCAACTTCAAGGAGTTCGGCACCCTATTTATTCATCAAATTGCCTTGTCGACCGGTTACCAAAAGCTTTGTAAGGTCATTTAAATTACAAGAGATAATGTGGCCCCATGTGTGCCATGAGATATGTCTCAGCATCATACATCATCACATTCGTTTTTTTAAATATTATTTCCATTTATATAATCATTATATCTCTATCATATATAAATGAGGATCACATGCACAAAATGTATCATGAGCTTAACGAGAGACAATCCCTACGAGCTATACATATAATAACATATGTCTTGGTCCTTTTAGAGTCTCCATCATTCACGTATTCTCTTTCTCTCTATCTCGAATACTCGTTTTAGTGATGTGTGTACTAAATAAATTTGAATGTAACATTTTGTTGTCATGTAGGTTTTAACACGAACAAAAGAATTTAGAGTCCCCACAAAACTTTCCCTTTTCCCTCACCTACTCATTGAGAAAAAAATTTTCTGTGCGGACTTCTGACCTAGCTCTACGTGCGGCCGAAGTTATTTCTGAGTTATTTTCAGATTATTCCTAGGTTATTTTCAATAATACTGAAATAACCCAGAAAAAACTCAAAAATAAAGACCGCGGGTTATTTCAGGATTATTGAAAATAACCAAAAAATAACCTAAAAATAACTCAGGAATAACCTACGCCGCATTTAGAGTTACGTCAGGAGTCCGGACAGAAAATGCGCTCCTCATTGAGTGTTTTGAGTGATCGAAATATAAAATTTTAAATTTGAGTGGCTAAAATGGTATATTAAAAAAAATTTTATGATTAACTTGTAAAAGCCTTATATATATATAAATATTCAAGTTAATAACGAGCAAGAAGACTCCAAACAAAACTCTATTTATTAATGAGAAAAATTATAATTGTTAATAAATGAAGAGTTATATACATTCTAAAATATAATAATAAATAATAATATATCCAAAATTGTGAAACCGGATCAGACATCAAACAGAAAGAATGAAAGTTTAAGATTTAGGTTCCGTTTGGGGCAGCTTATAAGTGCGGGCGGCGTTTTCAAAACGTTATCGTACCGTTTGAGTTTTTCGTCAGCTTATCTGAAACTACGTTTGAGTTTTTTACACTAAACACAAACCGCGGGTCGACCCCTGCGGCCTGCCCGCGGGCCGCGTTTCTGGATAAGCAGTTTATCTTAAAACGCACATACTGCCCCAAACGGTCCCTTAGTGGTTCCACGGGGATTGAATGTAATAAATATATAAATAAATTAAATATAATCTAAATAATATAATAATATAAATATTAAAAAATAAATAAACAAATAAAGTATAATCATAGTCTTTTAAAATTTCAAAACAAATAAATACTGATCTAAATCATTCAGTACATTCATAACAGAGTCCTCGTAATCCGTAGTTTGGGCGTAAGTTGCGTGCCGACAACGGACGAGATGCACGAATGAAGCTGAGGAAAAAAAAAACAAATATTCCTGTGCATCGCATCTATTGTTCGGACGCAACTTTCCAAACTCTGGATGCAATATTTTTTCCTCTTCACCAATTTCTTGGTTGAATCGGCAGTTCAATGACAGAAACACCTAGTTGTCTAATTCAAACCGGACCAACTACCGGTTAACCGTTGCAGTCCGATCCGATTTTATGAACCATGAACGTATCACTACTATTTGATGATTTAAATAACAAATATTTAATTTGAAGGTGATATATTCAAACTATGACATAAATATAAATTCTTCAACTAAATACAAAATTTCTCTAATTTTTTTAATTATTTAAGAAATTAGTGTGATTTCCTGCATTGACCGAATGGCTGTGGTCATTTGGCTTGTTAGCAAGCCAAGTTAAATAATTAGTTGGTTAGTCACATAGTTTGACTAATTTTATTAAGGTTTTAAAAAATATGTCGAGCTCGAGTCATGACAAGCTCCAGAGACTCGTGTGTCAAATTATGAGCTCGAGCTCAGCTCATAGTCATAGCAGCTTGCTCTTGAGCTCGAACTAAAAAATTAGTTACTATGTGAGCTTATCAGAGAATGTATTGGTAGCCGAAGGAGGATGATATAACAATTAAGGGTGAATATTAACCAAGCAGGCTGGCGAGTCGGCTCGAGCTCGGCTCTTTAATTAGCTCGTGAGCCGAGCTTATTGTGTCACGAGCTCGAGCTCAAGCTCAAACTGGAGCTCTTTTAAAGGAGCTCGAGCTCGAGCTCGTCCTGGCTGGACTCGTTTGCTCATGAGCTAGCTCGATTAACCTATTGTTAGTAATTTCGACACATTTTCCAATGAGTTTTCGTTGCATCCTCCTGTTCCTCCGACCACCAATACCTTTTCCGATCATCTATTGTAAAAATTATATTTTTAGATCGAGCTCGCGAGCTGGCTGCTACCTCTACGAGCCAAGCACAAGCTCATCATTTGATCTCGACTCGAGCTCTCAAATTGGTAAACAAGCCAAGCTCGATAAGGGCATGGCTTGAGCTCGACTCAACTCGTTTACACCCATACCAACAAAACCTCACAAAAAATGCATCAAAATGTTATATTATTATGACCATATTTAATTGTTGTATTATTAATTATTTTAACTTTTGTTCAATATGAAAAAGAAAGACTTGTTCCACCCCTATATGGAATTGTATTGTAGTAGGCATTTTAAATGGAGCTCTACACCTATGGGTAAGTAAAATCAATGTTTAAATGCTATTATGATTTATAGCATTTTATATGATATATGTTAATTATCGGGGAAAAATGAAAAATTAATATTTTTTTAATAGTATATGAATGTAAATTAAGATAGAAGATCAAAGAAATATGTTTGAAATAGACTCAATCAACAATTAAAAGAAGAACAAATCTTACTCTATCATTCACCTCAAACATCATTTGTATCTTACGGTCCATTTGGAGCAGTTTTGTGGTTGTCACGGTGGGAAAATACATTTCCACTTATTTGGTTCTGTAGACACGAAAACTTTTCCTGTAACGCGCCTATAAATGTGATTCGACCCTATTGTCTATGTTTTAACGCTATTTTCTTATCCTCCTAGTCTTTGTGTCCCTGCCCTAACCTCTCCTCTCTCTTGTCTCTTATGTCTCTCTCGCGTCTCTTCTGCCTCTCTTTCTTATATGACTC